AGAGAGAGAGAGAGAGAGAGAGAGAGAGAGAGAGAGAGAGAGAGAGAGAGAAAGTGGAAGACGGAGTTACTGAACAAGAACAATGCCCTTAAGGTAACGAGTCCGCCCCATACCTTTCATCCCCTTTGAAGCCGCCAAATTCCTCTTGAGTATTCTCGCGGCGTAGAAGAAACCAACGGAGGCCAGAAGTCCGTAGAGAATGAAGAAGAGCTGGCACAAGAACAGCGCGATCTTGGTCCAGCCCTGGAACTGAAACACCAAGACGTCAACGACCACCACGACACACAGATGGACGCAATACAGGCGCAGAACAAACGACAACTTGAGGAACCTTGGTGGTCCTGCAGTTGACTTTGTGGTATCCAGAATGATGAGCAGAAGGTTGCTGAAAGACGCCGTAAAACCCGGTAGTCCCACAGAGAAAACGATTCTCAGAAAGACCATGGACACCTTGGAGGCGTGGCCGTAAGCGTCAGAGCACAAGAAGATGGCGCGAGTGAGGGCAAAAGAAAGGATGAGAAGAGACAGAGTAATGACGCTTTTGCTGCTGCGTCGCCAGCCGTTCTCGGCAACAGACAGGATGATCACCAGAATGGCTGACAGAGTGACCAGGATGAAGCAGAAAGCTGTGAAGGAAATATGGAAGGGCCAGGCAAAGCCCCAAGTGTCCAGAGCTGTTGACCAGTCCGGTCCGGGTTCCGGCCACTCCTCACCCTCGCCCACTGGCTCAGGATTTATCTCAGAACTACCCTCGGATTCAGGATCGGGTTCAAAAGCATCTTCAGGTTCCGTCAGATTGTTAAACAAGCTTTCCGGCTCGGAATTTATTGGTGAGGTAGAATTCCCAAAGGGTTCAAACTCCGCAGAACCTTCTTGTTCTGCTTCTGGATAAGAAGAATTATCTAGAAAATCTTGTCCGGTAAAGTTTGCTGACGACAGTTCTTCTTCAGGCAAAGGAAATGTTTCTGCAGACAGATTGCCGTTAGAAACCGTTGTGAAATTACCATTTTGAAATTCCGCACTGGCCTCTGGATCTGTTTGGTTAGCCAACGGTTCTATCTCCGGTTCAGAGACACTGTCTTCAATCAGAGCATTCTCTGGCTCTGTAGATTGTTCAGTTGATGGTTCTTGTTCTGGTTCAGAATTCACACTTTCAGTTGATGGTTCTTGTTCTGGTTCAGAATTCACACTTTCAGTTGACGGTTCTTGCTCTGGTTCAGAAGTTGTTTCATTGGATGGTTCTTCTTCTGGTTCTGTTGTATTTTCAGATGATGGTTCTTGCTCTGGTTCAGAATTAGCTTCTGTGGTTGGTTCTTGTTCTGGTTCAGAGTTCACGGTTTCAGTTGATGGTTCTTGCTCTGGTTGAGAAGTAGTCTCTGTGGATGGTTCTTGTTCTGGTTCAGAAGTAGTCTCTGTGGATGGTTCTTGTTCTGGTTCAGAATTCACAGTTTCTGTTGATGGTTCTTGTTCTGGTTCAAAATTCACAGTTTCTGTTGATGGTTCTTGTTCTGGTTCAGAATTAGCTTCTGTGGTTGGTTCTTGTTCTGGCTCAGAATTCACAGTTTCAGTGGATGGTTCTTGCTCTGGTTCAGAAGTAACTTCTGTGGACGGTTCTTGTTCTGGTTCAGAATTCACAGTTTCAGCGGATGGTTCTTGTTCTGGTTCAGAAGTAACTTCTGTGGATGGTTCTTGTTCTGGTTCAGAATTGACAGTTGGTGGTTCCTGTTCTGGCTCTGGTGAGGTTTCTACTAAATGAGGATTTTCTGTGGTTGGAGACGACACAAGTTCAGGTTCCGGTGCGCTGTCTGTGGTAGAAAACTGCGGGGCTTCTAACGTAGTCTGATCTGGCATCTTTTATCCTGTGTTCACAATGATCTTCTATCCTGTCTTCACAGCGATCTTTTTTCCCGTGTTCACAACGATCTTTTATCCTGTGTTACACAATAATCTTTTATCCTGTGTTCACACTGATCTTTTATCCTGTGTTACACTATTATATTTTATCCTGTGTTCACACTGATATTTTATCCTGTGTTTACAACTTTTGAAGACTGTGAGAGATAACGTTTTTCTTTGTCACTGGGTAAGAGAAAAAGAATGCTTCACTCAGTTGTTTCCCGTGGGAGTCGCCGATAGGATATCAGTCACATTTTAGAAGTTTGGTGTCTTAGAATTGCCTGGTAGTTGTATGCTATAGTTGAAAGGGGATATACCTGAAGCACACACTTCGAACTGTCAGCGTTTATCTGAACAACATGTTATACCAAGTTATATGTTATAGTACCGTGCCAAAAGAAAACGTCTTGTCTCATTCCACTTTCCGTCTTTCTTACAATTCAGTTTTTAAAATGTATTATTTTTAAATCGTATGCACGCTAAGAAATTTGCTGCTTACACTGCATGTACACGGTATGAAAAAAATCCCAAATCTTCTGAAAAGTCCCTTAAAATATCTTCCCCTTACAGACGAATCGTCTCGCGCTGTTGACTAAGGAATGGTAATTTTGTGCTACAGGTATTTCCTTGAAGAAATCAAAACTGTCGGTCGGATTCCAAGTTCACCTAGAGTCACAATTCACCATTTACCGAGCACGCTTGGCGGTCAGTTGCCACGAGACACAAATAAATCAAACGTGTTCTTTCACCCAATACGTATATTGGAAATTTGACCCTTCATTCACTACCTGCATTCGAAACTTGGCCCTTCACATTACATGTATTGGAAACGTGTCCTTTCAATCATTACATGTATTGGAGACTTGTCCCTTCACTCCGTAAATGTATTGGGAACGTGTCCCTTCACTCACTACATTATTGGAAACTCGCCCCTTCATTCACTACATGTACTAAAAACTGCGCTCTTAGCATTGTCGTAACATACACCAGCAATCTGGGAAAATACACGTGACTGAATATATCGGATACAACTATCACACTTCTCTGTCCCAACAGTTTCTGGTTACTGGTCAATCCAATGCTCCACAACTGAAATTTTACACCTAAAATCAAGTGAATTTAAAAATTGTATAATTTTTAGATTTGGTTTTCACATCGCCAAAGAAAAAAAAACCCACAAAAAAAAGAGAGCGAAACTTTTCGTAGAAATGATAAATAAAACTTGGCCATCAGCGAGCAGCTCACAGACTGTCAAAAGATGAATTCTCTTAATCCAGTAAATCACCACAAGTTGTCAAGTGGAAATGAGAGAAACAAGAACAGACAGCAGAAACTCCGTCGGTTTTTATCCCCTGTCCGGCCCCACAGTGGAGAGGCGACCATAGCCTTTATACTCAGCGTGTTATAGATTTCTACTGCAGCAGCTGCTGCTCGCTGTTCATGCAGACAGCCCACCCTGGCTCACAGTTCCACTCCGACTTCTTCGCCTTTGACTTTCTCGCCACTGTGTTTCACACGGTGGCAATCACCCATTTGTCAGCTCATCACTTGCTCGTTTGTAACCTGTTTTGTCGACCCCCCCCCCCTCACTCCGTCTCTACCCTCATCTTTCCCACAAACGGTTATGTTGTTTACTAGGGTATTCCGTTTGGCTTTCCTTTTTTTCTCCTCTGTTTCCTTCTCGATTTCTTTATATTTGTAATTTGTGTGCGTGTCTCTCTTTCTCTGCAGCCCTCAATAGTTCTGTTTCTTTCTCTCTTGCGCTATCTTTGTGTCTTTCTGCGACCTTTTATTTATTTTTTCCCTTCTCTCTTTCTCTAACTTTGTGTCTTTCTGCGGCATTCTTTATTTCTCTGTTTCCTTCTCTTTTTCTCTATCTTTGTGACTCTCTGTCTCTCTCTGCATTTATCTGCTAGTCCCCTCTCTCCCCCCCCCTCTCTCTTTCTCTATATCTGTGTCTCTCTGTGATCTTTTTTATTCCCCCCCCCCGGTCTCTTTTTACTCTATCTGTGTGTCTCTCTCTTATCCTTTCTATTTCTCTGCCCCATCTCTTATTCTGTATTTTGTGTCTCTCTGGGACCCTTTTCATTTCTCTGCACCCCTCTCTGTTTCTCTATCTTAGTTTCTCTCTATAGCAGATTACGTTTCTTAGTCTCTGTTACTGTCTCTCAATTGCTGTTAACTTTCTGACAACCTGCTTATTAGATTTTACACCTGTCTGTATTCAGGATTTCCGTTACGTCAATCTGTCATCAAATTGGTATGTTTGTTTTCGCTAACACTCTATTCCTCCTCCTCCTCCTCCTCCTCCTCCTCCTCCTCCTCCTCCTCCTCCTCCTCCTTCTCCTTCTCCTCCTCTTCCGCCTCTTCTTCTTCTTCTTCTTCTTCTTCTTCTTCTTCTTCTTCTTCTTCCTCTTCTTCTTCTTCTTCTTCTTCTTCTTCTTCTTCTTCTTCTTCGTCTTCTTCCTCCTTCCTCTTCTTCCTCTTCATCCTCTTCTTCGCCTCCTGTACTTCAAACTCTGCACCGCCACCTCCTTCTGCCGCCTGCTCTTCTCCTCCTTCTCTCTCTCTCTCCTCGTCCTCTGCTTCTTCTACTCTCTCGCTATTCTCTCTCTCTCTCTCTCTCTCTCTCTCTCTTCTCTCTCTTCTCCTCTCTTCTTCTCTTCTCTCTCTCTCTCTCCTTCTCTCTCCCCTTCTCCTCTCCTCTTCTTCTTCTTCTTCTTCTTTTTCTTCTTCTTCTTCTTCTTCTTCTTCTTCTTCTTCTTCTTCTTCTTCTTCTTCTTCTTCTTCTTCTTCTTCTTCTTCTTCTTCTTCTTCTTCTTCTTCTTCTTCTTCTTCTTCTTCTTCTTCTTCTTCTTCTTCTTCTTCTTCTTCTTCTTCTTGCTCTGTATGGTCAACCCTTCTATATGGCTGAGAATGCTGGGCAATCACTAAAGACCGAGAAAATATAATAGAAGAAACAGAAATGTGGTTTCTTAGGAAACTGCTGAGAATATCGTGGAAGGAAAAGAAATCAAATCAGGTAGTGCTCGATGAAGCCCACGAGGGACGCTCACTGTTAAGAACAATCAGGAAAAGATCAGGGAAGCGGAGCTTTTTTAAGAGTATCCGAACAAAGTAATGAATGGAGAACCATGATCGCCGATGTCTGTCGCAGATCTGGCACTGGATGAATGAAACGAAAAAAAAACTGCATTTACATATGCTTTCAGTTGGTGGTTGGCTGGTGCACTCATGTGGTTTCCTTCTTCTTTCATATCAAACATTTATCGTTCTTCGCTCTCTTCCTTCTTTTATGTGTTTGTTGCTGTCTTGTAACACCTGTAATCTTTGACACTTATGACCTAATTGTGTTGCAAGTCAAGTAAAAACACTAACTAAAACAAAGCTAAACATGTGGTTTCAAATGCATTAAAAAGCTTTTTCTAGTTGTTTTTTTTAAAACAGATCTATTTCACGTGTTTGTGATACGATCGTACTTTCAACATGCGTGAGGCAATGGTGAGGCTTTTTATCTTTCAAGCAAAAAATAAAAGTACAGCTCCAATAATTATGGGACAATTTTTAATGTTTTCTAATTCTCCGTCTGGCCTTCATCCAAAACAGCCCGTATGGGTCCTAGCAAGCAGGGTTGCAGTAGGCGGACTCCTTAATCACAGATTGTAAAAGTAGGAGATGTAAAGATGCACTCCCTGTTATAAAACAGAAAGAAACTTTGGAGATTGAGTAAAGAGAAGCACATCGACACATTTAGTGGTTTAGAAAAAGTAAGACTGACAGACAGAAACAATTCTGAGGGAAAGTAAAGAAGTAGGACATGCCAGTGGCGCCCTCCGAACACCCTAAACACAAAGAAGGCAGACTGTTGTTCCCGGAGTGCACTGAGCACTCCCACAAGGAGCGTAAGAAGAAAGGCTAAAAAAAAAACGTTCTCAGAGCGCGTCAATTTTCAGCCGTCAAAATCTGGCCTTTACTTCTTTGGAAAGTTCTATAACATTAACTACTAATTTTTCTCTCTTTCCACAAATGGAGAAATTCTTGTTTACATTACATTAACGACTTTATTTTTTCCCCTCTTTGTTCGAATGAGGAAATTCTGATTACTGTTTCCCCGATACATATCGATTGTAAAATGGAATCGTTATTCGGTTTCCTGTGTAAATATTGTTCCTTAATTTAATTCCACGATTTTTGCTCTCTTCGACTTCACTTATTAGTGCAGACTGTTGAATACTCCCAAGGCACGCTTGAATTGTCAAATTTTGATAGAATTTAAGGAAAAACAAAACTGAAAGCATGAAACGGAAGCAGCAGCGTAGCGTGTATGGTTACAAGAAAGAGCTATTAGCTTTCTCCCAGAGACAACAGAATACATTATTTCATTATTACCTCCCTCTGAGCACTTTTAGCGGGGCCAGCTACGGCATAGCTTCTGTTGAGACAACTGATTGCAGCTAGGAAATTAAACGGCGATTGAAATCATAGAAGCCAAAAACCCTGTCTGAAAATAAGATCAGCCCCCCCCCCCTTCCCCCCCAAAAAAAGAAAAGAAAGAGGGAATTTAATAACCGTATCATGCAGGGTCTATAAAATACAGTGTACAAGAACATAACGAGTTTGGCGGGTTTTTATTTTTTTCATATTCTTATCTCAAAGCACTGCGTGTTCCTCCAGCTTTCACACCTGAGCAGACTATTGATCGAAACCCGACATTCAGCAGCACAAAAGACAATGTAAATTTACCGTTTCCAAGGATACTCAAGCTGTGGAAGTCACCAAACTTTGGCAGCGATTTTCTTGCTAATTCTACCTCTGAAGTGCGACCTCCACCTCTATCAATCGCGAATAACTCAACTTTTAGTCCAGATGAATGGACAATAACATCCGTGTTCGGTCTTCTGCCAACTGCCGTGTCTAACATTCAGAGGGGGTGGCTCGAAAAATCAAGAATAGAT